TAATTTCAAATTTTGTTACACACAAAAGTCTTAAAATCATGGGAAGACTTACTAACCTTCTCTTCCAAATGTCTTATATGCCTCATTACATGAACTAATAAAATTACACTAATTTTGACACTATACACATGATTAATTATCATATCAATAAAAAAAGCAAGTAGATGATATAACACACAAAATGCAAAATAATATCAAATAAAATAGATCAAGGTTACATAGGTGGTGTAATTAAGCTTATATCTTCAGATAAATATCTTTTTCCTATTAATGAAGAAACTTTCAACTATTGAAACCATTTAGAGGCTTCCACAGATAATCTACCCTTCCCACCAATCCACCAGATTATAATTTTTACCAGTGAAGAAATAGTCAAAGCTATCAATTCCTTCAACAAAATTCAACAAGTGATCTTGGTGGTTCAGACCCTCCTATTTTCAATACTTAATTAATTCAAAAAATCCTTCCCATAGTTCTGTCATCAAGGTTTTAACTTTTTGTAATAACATATTAAATAAAGATATCCCAATACAAACTCACTAAATTCTTTTTGGAGCACATCTAATCGCTTTATCCAAGCCAGATGGTGGTACCCATCCCATTGCAGTAGGTTCCTTTTTCAGAAGATTAATATCAAAAATTATAATCAAACGTATAAAACATGATGCTGTCAACATTTTAAAAGGTTTCAGGATTAAGGGCGGATGGGAAATTGTGGCTTATATTTTAAGAATATACATAGAAAACCCACCACCAGACTCGGTAATATGTAAACTAGATTTCAAAATGCCTTCAATAGCATTCATTGTACCTCTTTTTTTTAATTCTTCTATGAGACTTTCTCCTGTTACTCTAAATTTATTCAATTTTTATATGGCTTTCAGACGCCTTTGGCATATGGATCTTTCCAGATTCTATCCCAAGAGGGCATACAACAAGGGGGCCTATTAGGACCTTTTCTTTTTTGCTCTGGAATCCATCATCTCATATACCAAATTAAACAAAATTTCAACCTAGACTTTAATCTGTGGTAATTAGAGGTTGGGAACTGGCTTCTCAATGAATGTACTTAGCGCCTTAGAATAGTTGTAAACCAATTCACATAAAATAAATATAAATGAATTAGGTTTTTAACTAGGGATGTACCGATATTTTTTATCGGATCGGGCCGATATTTCACCTATTATAAAATATAGGTAATCGGCTTATATTATAAAATTTGCCGATCCGATATAAAATGCCGTCCTTAACAAAAATAAAATGTTATAAATTTTTTAAAAAAAGTTATATCTAAAATCATTTATTTTTATAAATAAATCGAAATCCATATTTTTTTAATAATAATAATTAATTAATAAACATTCTGCCATATTGTTATTTTTTGCGCATTCTGTTTATAAAAGTGTGCGATAATCTCTTCAGAATCTGTTTTTAGTGAAGCTGGTGATATTGACAGTTACTATCGTCGCAGCCTGGAAATTTTGATATTTCTAAAAAGAAATCTTCGATATATTAATGTTAAATATTATTTTAAATTTCATAATATATTTGTTTATTACTTATTATGTATATAGATTAATGTTGTTACTTATTATATAAAAGTGATTTATAATAAAAATATTTTATATACTTTTAGGCAATAAAATTGAATATAAACTATAACTGATCATTATAATATATTTAAATGATATAAGTTATGGTATAATTAAATTATAGATGTTATACTAATAAAAAGTATATAACAAATTAAAACCATTGGTATCTTTACAGAATACAAAATTAGGTATGATATCGGATCGGTTATCTGCCGATATCAATTTAATACCTGGAATATCGGATCGGATCGGCCTCCAAAAAGTTGTATCGGTTTTTTAACTAATAAGCCCGCAATTTTAGAAGGCTATAAAATCACTGCTCCCGATAGTTTTACACTACGAGGTCCACATTAGCCAATGCTACCAAGTCAGAAGATTTTCTTTTTTTATAGCTTTTACAACATGGAGCACATTCTGTGCCATTTATGGCACACCAAAGTTTATTTTTAATATGCAAATGCCTAGAGATATACCAAAATTTTTGCACATTTTCCTATCATCATCTTTTCTTAAAAACTATAGATTCATATCAAAAATTCAGAATAAATTTTAAATATTTTTGAAAAAATTTTAAACATAAATTCAAACTAGGCCTATTCAAAAATAATTCGAATATTCGATTCGATTCGAATCTAATCGAATAATTACGAATACGAATAATAAATTATTTGTTTTATCTGAATACGAATAATCATTTATTCGATTCGAATAAAACGAATTATTTGAATAAAACGAATTATTCGTAATATTTAATAAATTGTTTAATAAATCTAACATTTGTCATTTCTATTTGTTGACCTGCCAATCTGACAGGTGATGTGTTTGTGTTTATAAAGATTCTAGCACAAATTTAAAAATTTCTGAAGTGAAAATTTAAATTTTTATTTGCCACATTTTTTGAATCTCACGAAAAGTTTATTTTTTGAATCTCTAAAAATTAAACAAACCAGAGGTATATAAAAATATATTACATCTCCTACAATAATTTTGTTAGCTAACCTAATTATGTTAGAGGAGAATGCTTCTGATGAAATTATGCTTGATGTTGAAGATAAATACAAGGAACATCAACTGCTTGTGAAAGGCTTTTCTCAGTTGGAACTAATTTGTCAAAAAACCGCATGTCATATAAGGAAGAAAATAAAAGAAAAACTCTTTGCCTTAAAAATTGGCTTAAATTATAAAATAAATTAATAATATACATTTTAATTTTGTTTATAACTTGATTATATATTATTTATGATCAGATTATTGATTACATATTATTATAATTTTTTCTGTTTAAAATCAAATTTGTAATAAAAAAATTTGCCAATATATTTGAGTATGATTTTTTTTATTAAAAAAATTAATTCGAATTATTCGAATAATCGAATCGAATACAAATAGTAGATTTTATTATTCGTACGAATTCAAATAGTAAATTATTCGATTCGTTTAAACGATATGAATAATGCACTATTCGATTCGAATTCGTTTTTGAATAGGTCTAATTCAAACCCATTCAATTGATTACTCGCCGAGTTACCTTCTAAATTAGGTAGTTTTTGCCACTGAATCTTTTATCCTCTTTCGCCCAGATTAACAAACAATTCTATGATTTCAAGCTTCATAACCCTACAGATATTTTATTAGATGCCGCAATTGTCAAATGGAAGGCTTATATACCCATCACTCATATACCATCAATCATCATGCGCAAAAATTTTTCCCAAACAGATATATCAGTCAATCCACCCTTAGATAGCATTCAACTCCAATTGATGGTCATGAATGGTAAGAATCACTTCCTAGTGGTATGCTTGGTAATATCTTATAAGACGAACAACTTAGAGTAGGGCTTACGTCTACGTTGTAAGCCTCATGCTTGTATCATATGCAAATCACCCATCGATCCAAATGGTGGGCATGGCCTTAATTGTATATTTAGTCAAGGGCGACACCAACGTAATACAGCAAATATAATGATCGAGGTTTGACAGCCGCCCACTTTCCGAATCATCTTGAACCCACAATATCTCAAGGTAATGGCTTAAGACCTGATGGCATGACAACCATACCTTAGACTCTAGGTAAATTTCTAACATGGGACTACACATGTGTCTTTTTATTACCCTCAAACTTAAATATCAACCCACTAATACACACAGAAACTAAATAAATTTAACAAATAATAAATTTTTAACAACTTCATATTCACTCCAATAGTGACTTCTACATATGGCTATTTTCCCCATTAACATATAAGTTAATAAAAAAATATAGGCAACGGCTTTTTACAGACGAAGCCAGTGAATTTTAATATATGCGCCAAAAAATTCAAATTGAAATTTTTGGACATAATTACAATTATAGTTCCTTTTTGGGAACTCAAGCATAAAATTGTATTTTTAATTATATAGTTTTTTAATTTTTATTTTTATAGTATTTTAATTTATTGCAAATCGTAATCGTTTTTTAAATTAAAATAAAACCTTCATTCAATTTTTTTAAAATAATTATATATTTTATTGTAGGATTAAGCTCAAATTTATGTTTTATAATGCTCTGTAAAACTGTGCAATTAATGATATTTACAATAATAACATAACTTATGTGATATACTACTGCAATAAATATATTATTTAATACGTTTGTTTTTCCACAGATAAAATAACTATAAAATTTTCTGTACGTTGATATTGTTTACATAATTGTTTAAAAATGGTTAATAAAAATATCATTTAAGTAAATTATTGATAGTGGTACTACAAAAATCTTGCAAAAATTATTCTACAAAGTATTTGTGTTTAAATACATTATTCAATTTTTTTTTGTAGGTATTTAATTTGTATTAATATTTAAAATTCATTTTTTAAAACATAGTGTATTTATATCCGTCAATTAAAATTTGCCTAACCATGATTAAATATTAATCGGTTTAGAACTTTCGACGAAGAAGGGTTCTTAATATTTAAAAAAGTGGTTCTTCTGGTTCTTAAAATTTAGAAAACGGGGTTCCGGTCAGCGCCGGTCCAAGATATGAGCTTTATGGGCAATTGACCCAATAGCGTGATTGAAAGGAAATATTTTTTCTAACCCTAACCCTAACTACCTAAGCCATAACAAGCTTTTCAAGACTTAAAAAAAATAGCATCGTAAAATATATATTGCAAAACATCGGTTTCTGGAAAATTTAAAATGGTTTCTGGTTCCCGTTATTGTCATTAAAATTTTAAGAAGATTCTAGATATATAATATTAACCTTAATTTAAACTAACCTTACTAGCCAACATTACTTTGCCATCCAACATATACTAACCCCATTAGCTCAAATAAATAAAATGGCGATTTAAGTTTATTCTACAAAGCAGTTTACTTATTAAAAAAAATATACAACATAAAAAGAATTTAATACATGTATACCTTTAAGTAAAGTAGTTTTGAAAGTATTGATGTCGTTATTTCTCATGTCCATGCCATTCTCGTCGTTCAAATTATCCAAAAAGTTTCCTCCGTGTACCACCAAGAATAAGTACGATGGGCTGAAAGTACCTAATTTATTAATTCATCCTTTTAGAGGTCGGCAGAGCCCGGCACCTGGCCCGCGCGAATGGGAAAAAAATTTGCATATAATTAGGGTAATGAGCCGGTCAGGACAATTTGTACAAAATAAAATCTATGGACCGGGTAAAAATAATTATAGTACGGGCCGAAAACCCGAATAGAAATTTTCCACAAGCCAGTTCATGCCACGCCGATCTATAAATCTTGTATACATCGAATGCACTAGAGAAAGTAAATTTTTGATGAAAATTTTATATATCTATATATGCAAGATTTTGATGGGGGGGGGGCAGTAGACTGATTTTCTCATAAATTTTATTGGATGGCTTTAGGTTTATTTATTGTAGTTACATTTTTTTAAAAAAAATAACTTTGGATGTTCACTTTTTTAAAATTAAATTGTTGTTTTCTAAAAATTTTGAATCATACTAATTATTATCTATTATTCTTTTTTTAAAAAATATGGATTATAGTGATATTGTTGTATATATTTTGCGAAAGACGTGTCTGTGGGAAAGAGGGGGGGGGCTGTAGGAGAATTTCATATATAAACAAAAACAGACAAATTTTTGATAAAGGGAAACATCCTTGGCTATGCAGGTCTATGAATATATCATTAACCATTATTAGAGCTTTATAAGGTGATTTTCTTCCCGAGCCCGAATTTGACTATCTTCATGTCCGAGCCTAATTTGAGCCCAAGCACAAATTTTTTGTTCCAATCCGACTAAAAAATTTGAAATTTTTCAGCTTGTTTATTACATATAAATAGGAATTCTTCCATACTTCTGATTTTCTTTGATCTCAAATTCTTGAGTTCTAATCTTTTCAGAAATTATTTTTAAATTTGGATGCTTTCTATAAACTTTTATAAATATAAAAATCTGATGCTATTTTATAAAACAAAAATTATCATATTGTTTCAACAGATTCATATTCTAGATTTATAGTTGGCTAAATGTAGATATACTTTATTTAACCTGATGAATATGATATATGTTAATAATAGAATTTTAACTAGTCACAATACATATCACAATCACAGAAATTGTTAATTTGGGAAATGGAAATTACGTAAATAGACAAATGTGTTAGATGAAAAATCGATGAAACAAAATGATTATTGAAGATACTTCTAATATTTACCTTACAGCCCGACCTAAGCCAGAGAAAAAAAGTAATGTCCGAACCGAGGCTTGGACTAGGCTTCGTAAAATCCCTACTGGGCTCTAACCATTATTGCATTTTCATTACTTTTTATTAATCAATGAAACATATTTAACGGAGATCATAATTCAATCTTACCTATAAATATTTTTATAAATCACATTCCTTATTTTGTAAAATATTTTATGTACTTTTTCCGTCATTAATATCATCCTTTGTCGATATACTTTTGTTATCACCAATAGAATGATTAGAATTATCCATAGCGTCAAAATAAATTGCCAGAGATTCATCATCATTTTCTTCATTCTCATCAAAACTCTTGTCCTCTTTGCTTTCTTTTAAAATGGAAGTTACCATTTGGTAAAATTGTTAACAAGTCTCTCAATAACTACCTAAATTTAAATACTAGCTTGTCTTTAAAGATATGTTTAATTTTAATTAGTAACTATTTATTCTGAGATAATAAAATTCAACAACTAAATGGGTTGGTTTTGATTTTGGGGCTATTACATATTTAAGATAAAAATATCTTATTATTAAAACTGAGAACAATATTTATTCTCACCAATCTCTGGTGATAGATAGTCGTCTTCATCATCAAACTCCTTCGTGTCTTTGCCTAAGAGTTCTAACAAGGAAGTAGTACTAGCTAGACCTTTATTAGAGGAAATTTGATTGATCGATTTTTGTCTGTGCTTAAAGAGGTTGGAATTAAAGTTGCTACTTATTGAATCTCCTAGAAAATAAAATATATTCTTTAAATAATAAAAAAAAAGAAAATTTGTAAATCTATATTTTAGAATATCGATCTTCAAAAATAAAGTGTTGGGATCATAATAAATGTCTATAAATGTTTTATCTGTACGGGAGGTGTGCAAAGCCCGATGGGCCGGGTCGGGTAACGACTGGAAAAAATTTATTTGGGCCGGACCAGGCAAAAAAAATTTTGTATATATATTTGATGAATTCTGATATTTCATAGAAGTGATAATTCATACAGCATTTAATTTAACAACTTTCCAACATTATAAATAGTTGTTTATTGATGTGTACAACAACAAATTTAAGTTTAGGCCTTGTATTTAAAAAAATATCTAAAACCAGGGTTGGACAAAAACAAAATTCCCACCGGGTTGGACCTGAAAATTTTGCTATTTCCAGACCTCTTAACTTTACACTATAAAATAATAACTATTCAATCATTCTGCCAATGAACAAATCAAAAAGGATACAAACAACATACAGATTAGAGTCCTCAATTCAATATTTTTCGTTCCGAGCACATCCCAAAATTTTTAAACCCGACTTGAATTTTCATTTTAAACCTGAGCCCAAAATTTTTTTTAAAAATTCTCTTATATTTTTTAAAATCTTTAGCCCGAGCCTGGTCCAATTTAAAAAACAACAACTTAAACTCAAGCCCGGCTAAAAAAAAATTTTTGAGTAAGACTTAAGTTAAATTTGTCCCGATTTTTTTCTTCTGCAGGGCTTTAATATGGATATTATATTTTAACCAAAATCAAATAAAAATATGATAGGCATATATAATATGTAACAAACAAAAATATTATAGAAAATACCAGAGCCTTAATGGCTAATAACAGATATTTTTATATTAAGTAACAATAAAATATCACTAACTAGATGTCCTTTTAAAATCAACTACATTGCATGAACTATTTAAGCACTTCATATTTTGATTGATGTCATTTTTATTAGGGGAATTGTTGAGATTGGATAAAGGTGATGATGTAATGTTTTGATTCATTTTCATGGCTAAAATTTTTTGTGTTTCTCCTTCAAGTTTGCGAATAGCTTCCATGTCCAATCCTATCCATTCATCTTGCCAACACCAAGCCTGCTGATGAGCAGTTATCATTGTCTTTCTCAGAGCTTTGTCATAAAATGAAGATAGTCATTAAAAATTTAATTCAAATGTTAAGTTTCAAGAATTTATTTTCTATACAATAAATCATTCAATTATAAAAAATTTAACTTGTCCAATTTGAAATAGAGGTCTACAATATGCGTATTTTAGCATAAACGCCCATCCGCCCAATGTTCAAAAAAATGTAACTACCTACTCGCCCCCCACCCTGGTTTAAAAAATTTTACCATCCGGGCTGCCGATTTATAGAAAAAATTTGTTAATCCACTCGCCCAATGTTTAAAAATGATTTGCTTGGTTGGTTTGGCTCTTTATTTATTTATTTAAATCTATTTTTAGTTAAATTTATAAGATCTGCCCATTTCGCCCAAAAAATATTCCAAATTCCCCGCTCAATGCTTTAAATTTGAAATTTATCCAGAGCTGGTTAAAAACATGCCAGGAAACTCTAATTTCAATATTAAATAATTTTTAAGTAAACACTAAGCAGAAAAGCCAACCGCATATTAATCTAGAATTTAATGTTCCGTGACATTATATAAAAATTTTATACAAAAACAAATCAAATCAAATAATTCGAATATTAGTTATATCTTAGCTTACATGAGATGACTATAAATAGATTAATAGAATTGTGTGTGTGTGTGTGTGGGGAAGGGGGGGGGGGGGGGGTTAGGGAAAAATAAAATTAATATTAACGAAAATTGATGTTTTCATTTACCGATATCATTGATGAACTTTTCGACTTTGCTTTGCATACCCCAATATCGGAAATCGATACGGCATAATTTATAAGCGCACATTATACTTTTCTTGTATTTCGTCACTGGTGAAGAATGAGATTTTTGCCAGTCTTTAGTGCATACTTTCAGCCAATCCTTTTATAGCCACGAGTTTAATAATGGATTTTTTTAAAAAAACAATCAAAATATAATATCTACAAGGTTATCATAATCATATCTTCTCGAAGATATTAAAACAAATATAAATAAATCATATTAATTTATAAAACCTTGTTTAAAGGACCTCTTTTCGTTTTTACAGAGACATAACGAGTTGGATCTTCCGCAGGATTAGATTCAGTGCTGGAGAGGGAGTCATTGACTATATCTATCATTTCTAAATTAAAGGGATGAATATATTTAAAAAAAGGCATATTTATTATGTAAAATACTATATTAATTCAATTGTGATTAACTTTTGAAATTCTTTCATTCAATTTAATTTATATAACCATTTGAATAACTAAATATCAATATTTATACATTTTAATTTATTATTCTGTATAGTTTAGTTTATTGAAAAGGTCGTTTATTGGTCAAGTAATGAGAGATCTTTAAAGTCTTTGTATATTGTATTAAAATTAATAAAACCGATGGTCCTTTCTTTGAGTTCCTGAGGAGAAAGATTGAAGACATTATCCTGAATTCCCGGATCATCGAAATATCTCGTTTCAATTTCAATAAAAAACTTTTCCATAAATGGACATGTGTAACGAGTTTTGGTATAAGGGTATGCATTCCAAGCTTCTTCGTCAACCCTCTGCGCCGTTTGGGGTACTATGGATCTAAACCAAGCTATAAGATGTAATGCAAATTAAACAAAATCCCCAAGTTGCAATAAAATAAGATTAGTATAAAATAAATAGCCAATTAATTATATTTTTTATAGTGAGTTACATATAAATTAAAAGGAGAAAATAAACAATGGGGCGGGGGGAGAGAGAAATCCTCGGTAATTCCCCAATTTTTTAAAGATCACCCCCCCCCTTCCCCTAAGTACAATATCTTATTATAAACAATTTTTTAACTTACTTTTAATTTAATAATCCAACAAACAACAATCTAAAAAGGGAAAATTTTCAAAATGTTTTATTTTTAAACAATTGTCATAAAACTAATAACCAAGATTATTGCAAATTACGGGTATGAACGAATATTACCTTAGCATTTTTAATTGAGCTATAATGCTTCAGGACACCTAATTGGGAAATAACAGTAAAATAATAAAACCAATCATTATTTTACTAGTCAAAAAATTTTAAATTTGGTTTAACAATTTTATTTGAAGATATTCAATAGTATTCGTTTTAAATATTGAATGATTTTCCTTCCGAATTACTGATATTAACTAAAGATATTTTTTTAAACAGTTTGTACATATCAGCGAACTTTTGATAGAGAGTCGGCTTTTTATTTGGCAAAATATAAAATTAGCTCATGACTTATCAATATATATTCCTTCAACAATTTCCTAACCGGGTGTCCTGAAGCATTAACTTTTTACTTGTAGGTAATATTATACTATGGTAAAAAAAAAAGATGTGATATTTTTGAATCTAAACCTGTACCTCTCTGATTGAAATATTAGTATTTGATTTAAACATTATGCCAACCTTAGTGTCTGGTGAATCTAAGATTTTTAAGTAATGTATAGTCACGATTTTTTAAAGTGATGAACTAGCATTTTCATCTTTAAAAGATATATTACCAGACTTGCGTGAAAGTCATATTGATAAAGGCTCGATTTAGCCGATTTTGATTTTTAAATATAGCTAAATTAATTTAACCAAAAAAATATGTTGCAAGCTTAATGATTTTTCTCTTGATTTAACCATGAGCCATTTAACTACACTATGTGGAAGTTTTATTTCAATGATTATATTTTGTGAGATATCTTGATTTCGCATAAATAAAATTTTTAAAATACAAGTATATTTATGGTGAATACTGAATATGATAAAATATTTTTTAAAAAAATTTTTTTTGCAGCCTGAATCAAAACTTGGTTCAGGGCTTTTCACGAACCTTTTTAGAAAAAGGCTTGGGAACTAGGTTATGACAATAATACATTATTCGAGTCCGAAATATTGGACATATCTATCTATAAAATAATTTATAAACTTAGATATCATAATAAAATATAAACCATATTAGAAGTTAAAAATATCTGAAAGAAACAGCTGAATAAAATCTTTTATTATAAACGTAAAATAGGAAAAGCATACGTCAACAAGTTAAAACTCGTAACACTATTAATCGTAAATACACAAAATATGTTCATAAATGATTGCATATATCTATGATATTTCGATTAATTAATTCTAGAATTAATGTAATGTTTTTCATTTGGATTCAACCGGTTTGTTATCATTTTTTTATATTTTTAATTAAACGCAAGTTATAACCCATGATATTAATACAAACCTATACTAAAGACTCATTAGTTAAAAATGTAGTGCACATAAGTTGAAGTCAGCTGTAGTCAATTAATTTCAAGTAAATGGCCTTCAATGCTGGACTTTAATGCATGTACACTTTTAAAAACATTTGAACGGTTAGTATTAATTAATATTTAATATTATTGATTATAAAAAGTTTTAAATCGATTTACGTTCCTTGAATTGCTTTATTTATGAAAAATTTCGCCAATTGCTTTCGATTGGGTAGATTATAATAGTTCGTATTAAAAAAAGTTCAATTTAAGGATTGTTGCTGATAAACGGTAAATTTCTTGGTAAGGGAACTTTTACAAACATTCATTATATTTTTCTTTTTTGTTAATGCTATCTTATTTACAAAAACATTTTATACTCGATTGCTGCCTTTTTGAATTTAAATGGCCAAAGTTTGCTATGATGGAATAAATTTTGAATTGTGGGGTAGAGGTCCAGATTCAGTAAAAAACCCTAAAAATGGAAAGGTCCTCGAAAGGCAGCTATAACCCTCCAATAAAATTGAATGGAAAAACTTAAAAGTTTTATCCGTCTTTTACAAAAATCCTATATGCATGTGACTCGTCATCCTATTTCAAAATATCTTGTCCAACTACACTAGTGAAGTTTTAGCTCACTTATCGCTAATTTTTCCAACGCCTGTCCAGGTCCAGTAAAAAACTCTAAAAATGGAAAGTTTTTAAAAAGCAAACCTATAGCCTTCCAATAATGATGGAAAAAGTAATTAAAGTTATTATCCTTCTTTTACAAAAATTCTATTTGATTTTAATATGTGACTCGTCCCTCTTTTATTTATTTCATTATATGATTTTCTAATTACTCTAGGGGAAGTCTTAGCTCACTTTTTAATCGCTGCTTTTCCAACGTCGTAATGGAAATTGTTGCTTTTTTAAACTGCGGGAAAAGTTTATTTATTAACCCAAAATAAACAGAAATGTGAATAAAGTTTTCCAGCTTCTCTTATGGCTGTAAATATAGAAGCCAAAAGGGTTAGCTAGGAAAGCCTCTTATATCAAAATAAATTTTACTTATAATTTTTTGAAGTATATTATACGAAATATGTACTGAATATAAAACATTTTATATCATAAAACTGAAATATTATAAAATATTTACAAGGTAAATGTTTTCCAATGTGATAGACTTTGTAGGTGTATTGACCAGACGCAATGTTACCGTCGGATTGTTCATTAGTATAAGGTTCATTAACTAGAATTTCGACACCGCTCCCTTCACCTTCCGATTCCTTTCGACTCTTTTTCTGCAATTAAAGTGGAAATTAGATTTTTGATGATTTATAACTGACATCCGAAAACGGAAGTCGATGAGGTAGGGATAAAAAGAAACAAAATTTTAGCGAGTCTCGTTAAAGGGGATACGAAAATTTTCAATTATCTTTTGACATGGAATATTTTTTGATTTATTTTTAGGGTTTATGCCAGAAACCTTTATGGGCCTTGATTCTATGACCAAACCTGGCCCAGGCTTGCAGAAAAATTGTAAACCCAGGCCCAGCCCGGTCCGCATTCAATAATAAAAAATTTCCAAACCCAGTCCAAGGTTACAATAAGCTTTAAAAAATTTTCACAAGCCCGACCCAAACCTATAAAATCATTTTATAGGACAAATCCCCCCCTCCCAAGCCAAAAAATGCAGATGCCGGATTATATTTTTCAAAAATATTATTGTTAATATTAATTTATATTTGTTAATATTTATTCCTATCTCATATATATATTTAATTACATTTATATATCACATTCATCTACTAAGTTATTTTATCAATTAATTTCGATTTCAAGTTTTCCTTGGCGTAATTTACCTATTATTTTCAAATTTTAATGTAGTATTATTTATCTAAATTTCTAGTCAAATAATAATTATCTCTGAAACTCCTTGTCTAAAGGGAAAAAGAAATTGCAAGCTTGTCCAACGAGATCGAGTCTCCGTCATCAAGCAGTAACAGTTTTTATGGAGTTAGAAGAGTCAATTTTACTGAAATATCACAATGGCTTGAAAGAAATATTTCCTCAGAAGCAAGAAAATGATTGGATTCAATACTTATTCCAAATTTTTTTTCTCATTAGAATGTATTATTTAATTATACAACTATTTTATGTAATACTTTTTAAAAACATGACATTGACTTGATCAAGAAGATGAGAATAGTGGAGAGCATTTTATTAGAACTCAAGCAAATTAGAGTTAATGTTGATGAAGAATTTCATATTTTAGTTATTGTTGAGTCAAAAGCGAGCTATACGTGTTTAATATTTGCCCCCTTAGACTTGCAGCAAGCAAGCTCATCGTCAAAACATTAATATAGGAACAGTAGAAGAGTATTATAAAACAAATGTCCCCTCTCTTAAATACATTTATAACCCAAATAAATAAATGGTTTTTAATTTATCATGCACCATTTATAAATCCGCAGATATTACTTCCACAAAAGCCTTTCCAACCTTTTTCAGATGGTGATAAATATTTGTATATTTTTATCATGAAGATGTTAAAATATCTTGTGATGCCTTATTAGCTGAATAACTATAATTAAAAGATTAACTATGGTTGATACAGTCCCAAAAAATGATATGGATGCTTAGCATTATTTCAAACATATTTTAGATTATATTCCCAATTTATTAAAATGGTTATATATATTAGCAACTCTTCCCATTAGTAAACTAAGAGAACATTCTCATTTTTAAGAAGAATAACAGAGCTCTGCAGAGGTACTATTTGCAAAGCACGGCCCAGATTTTTTTAAAAATTTTTTTTGACCCGGGTTTTTTGTAAAAAAAATTTGAGGCCTGGCCCAGATTTTTTGAAAATAAAATTTCAGGCCCTGCCCAATTTTTTAAAAATAAATTATATTTATTTTTGATTTTTATATCTAATAATGGCGATTTCAAATATTTGGTTTTAAAATATACAGCTCGGCCCAGATATTTTTTTTAAAAAAATTTTCAAGCCCAGCCCAATTTTAAAAAAATTTTGGGCACGGCCCGGGTATGTTTAAAAAAATTAAAATACGGTTCGACTCAGGGGCTGGGCCTGCAAGTCTCTGAAAAACATATCTATGAAATACAACTTCTGAAAGTATTGAATGATTTGGAACTTTTGAATATTCATAGGCATTTAACGCCAAGATAGATTATTGAAAAATTAGCTCAAAACATACAAAATACAATTATTCCTAGAAACTTGTGTATTAATTTATATTTCAAACATTTAAATTTTTTATACTTTATATATTTTAAAGGCTCAAAAAATTCAAATTTCAATTTTGGGTCACTTAAGTGATTCATATCGTGGTTATATTTTATAATTCACATTTATTTTATAGTTTTTCAATGCCGGTTTATATATATAATTTTTTTGTACACATTAATTTAAAATTGTGTATTAGAAAAGTTATTAGTCCTTTAGTATTTTTAATTAACAATAATATTTCTTAAAAAATTTTATTATCCCCCCTCCAGACTAAATTCCTGCGTACGCGCCTGGGTTAAATAATACTAATGAATAAAATATTTTATTGCAACTAATAATTCCAAATTATCTTTTAAAAATAATATATTATCAACAATTGCTTTATTATTTTTAATAGAATAAAAAGAACAAAATTTTATTTTAAATTTGATTTGCATTTATGTCTAGATAAATATAAAGACCCTACTTTCCTTGAATAAATATCCTGACATTTCTTACATTAAACAAATTCAATTTTTTAATTATGATTGTTTATTATTATTAAAATATTATTTTCAAATAAATTATAATCCCGAGAATGTAATTTTTTAAGTATTATTTGATTTTTATTCATCATAACTATAAAAAAATACTACAAATTGTTATATGCCATTTTTGATTTATAATCTATAGAAAGAAAAGGTTTTAAAATAACTGTTATAATAAAAAACTTATCTGAAAAATTTATCCGTAAAACAAAAGTTATATTGTTGCATATTATCTTTTTATCCTATAATAACCATGATTATTAAACCCTATTAATAAAACACTTTAAATTTTATATTTATTGTCAGGTATAAGACACTAAATTTGCGATTTTAATAAAACAAGCAATAAAAACAAAATTAGCACTCTCCAAGTAAATAGGATAGTGTAGTGTGATAAATAATACTAATGAAATTATAATGATTTGTTATGTTTGTCCTATTAAATATTCTTAAAATAAGCTAAATTTAAATGAAAAATTTGATCCAAGCCCATTAAAAAAAATAAAAAACCCCAGTCCTGCAAGGGGCTGGGTATGGGCCGGTCTCTGTTTTATGTCGCCTTTTACAACTCATTAATATTGTATTTTAATTATTTGAATTATTGTGGAAAATATATATGTCTCAGGTGTTCCTCCGACGTATTAACCCATTTGACAATAATACTTTTTATTAATTTAATTTAAGATTGTGAACAGGAGTACTCCCATCAGGCAGGCCTATTCTGGTTACTGATGTCCCAAACATTTTAATGGCGACAAAATAAAATCCTGTTAAAAAATTTAGTTCCCCTAAGAGACGCGCAAGCCCACGAGATAACTGAGTGGGATTTTTAAAATGTTAATTTTCTGTTATATTTATAAATTAACAAAATAGGGATCTCCAAGATTTTCGAACGTAATGAAATTTTTAAAAAACTTATAAGGTATATTACAAAGAAATGGACATTTTATTAGCAATCTAGATCTGCAACGGGCATGTTTTTACTTTAAACTATGGGTGAGGAATGAAAAATATTTAAAGGACGGGTGGGATGAATTTTAAATATTTTATGGGGCTGATTGGGTAGAGCGGGCTTATATTTATCAATAAGTTATTTTTTATTAAAAAATATTATTTTATAAGTTTAAATAAACAACTAAAATCCTTTATAAACATCTGGCGGTGGTAATAATATTTTAAACAATGGACGATGAATTATTTTATTCAAAAACCATGGGTGGGCCGGGTAAAGAATTTAAAACAATGGGCAGGAGGTCCAAAAATTCGTCTGTTGCAGACCTCTAACTATTGTCATAAAGAAAGAATTCCAAAGAGATGTTAATGAAGCAATAATCGTTTAAGAATAAGATAATGAGAATTCAGTTAAGTTATAAAAAAGTTATATTGAAAGATGATGGTGGGTATTCTCTTTAGGATCATATTGTTAAAATTTAAATTTGAAGTTAGCTAAAAAATTTATAGATATCTCATCTATAGACAAAATTTATAATTAAATGATAAATAATAATTGTTAGATTTTAATATTATATATATATATACCATATATAATTAAATGATAAATTATTGTTAGATTTTAATAATACATAATAGAAGTTTGCAAGCACAGCCTGGCGAAGTTTTACGAAAAGTCTATGGCCTGTTAAATTTCTTTGTATAAATGTTCTGACAATAACAAATTTAACATCTATATCTAATTTTTTTCCAGTGATTTAAGGCCCTTATATCTCTCCTCTGTGGATATCTATTACTACAAGAACCGTTTTATAAATCAATTGTGTTTGTAATTTGTATCATATTATGTATATACACTTTTATATAATAAAAATATAATTATATAGCAATAAACTTTGTTACAAAACCATAAAATTATTACTGTGCTTATTTCTAAATAGAACAACATTTTGAATCTTTAAAAATATACTTGCCCAATTTCTTTCAATTTAGATTTGAAATTAGAACACACTCAAAGGAAAGTGGACTGTTCGATGTCATTAAGTCCCCCCTTTCAAAGAAAGACCAACATGTACACACTAAAAACAAACCGTCCTACTGGGTTCGGTTGAATTGGATTCAAACTCGGATCGGTCAGTGGTGGGATGTAACTTATAAAATTCTTTTATTTCTTCATGCAATCTAAATTTGATTGAAAATATAGAAAGAATGCATAATAGTGCACACAAATAGATATACGTTTTGCCGTAATTTTTTAATAAAAAAAAGTAACGCATCCCTTGTTAAAATTGTTGTCTTTTAATTAATATCGTAGATTCAAAATCTTAAATAAGTTCTTAAAAAAGGATATATAATTAGCATATAAATATATCATAAACTTCTTTTTAGAAATCTGAAATGAATAATAACCTTAAATATTTAATGTAAATTGCAAAATATATTTAAAAATTTCAAACTTTAATAGTATTATCTTCGAGCTCATTTACTTTATCTGAAATAGAGGTCTGCAACCGGGGTGTTTTAGCTCGCCCGCCCGTCTAAGAGGTCGGATGGGCGCGTTAATTTTAAAGAATGGGCGGGCGGGCTAAGAATTTCTCAACTTTATTTATTATTCAAAATTCTTTAAACAAACTAGAAAAATATTGGCCCCTGCATGGAAGTTTCTTAGAACAAAGAAGAAAGTGTTTGAATTCAGAAAATATGGTTTCATTTTTTTGAATTATAATTGCAAATAGTACCAATAAATATTAATTTTATATTTTTTCGTAAATATTTTATTTGATCAAATAAATTCCTTATAGTATTTTAAATTGAATATTTTTTTAAAGCTTAAAGTAATTTCCTAAATTATAAAACTTTTTTGTAGGGATGTAACACTGAAACTGATTTATTTTTTTATTATATGTCTAAAAAAATTGAAAGAGTGGGCATATTTAAATTTTATGGGCGGGAGTGGCTTAAATTTTTTTTATAAATAATGGGCGGGCGTGTAAAACTATTTAGACAAATAGGCAGGCGGATTTTAGACTGGGGATGGGTATACTTTTTAATACTATTATAGGGTTAGGAGGTAAAAATACGCCAATTGCAGACCTCTAATTTGAAACATAGAAGTTTTGCGTAACCTTTTCTATAAGGCGCGGACCAAACAGGTTGAAATTTAAATGTACTAATTAGGCATTAAATAATATCGTAATCAGGATACTTAGTGCTGCTATAGTTTTTATTTTGGTGTAATTTTATTTTTGTTTATTTCGTTAATAACTTATTTTAATTTGATTATTAAACCGATTGAAGCAATAACTTCTATTAACGAAGCACTAAAGAACGATATATGTTTCATAGTTAGTGCTTTGCTTTCAATTGACTTTTAAGCGTGAAATTGGCAAAGTTTCTATTTTTCTTTATAACTTTTTTTCCTTAACTTCGGAAACTATGGATTGAAGCACTAACTAAAAATGGTATAAGATTCATCATTAGTGTACTTCCAATCGTTTGACCAACTCACGGAGCTATAGTATTATGCTAAATAATGCTCTTGAAGAAAGATTACTCAGTTCCGCAAATTTAATTAATAGGCCAAACAGGCATAGATAAATTATATTTTATTTGAAAACTATATTTATTAAACATGTTATTTCTTAAAATATTTCTTATGTGGTATTTTTATTTTGCTTTTTAAAATGCGTATATATTTTTACAACGGCATAAGTGATTTAGGGTCAGAACACCCTCTAATCTAAAAATGTATACATGATTCATATAATATATTATTTTTTAAATATTATAAACTTTCCTCGTTATAATAATATATTCATTTAAAAAGGAATACTCCTGATCTTGAAACAATAGACCTGAACATTTTTCAAGTCATAGAGACTAAAAATATCTTATAATTATTTTATTATAATGACCCCATATATTTCAACATTTATGTTTCTTCCAACGGATTAATTTAAAATTACTATTCAAAAACTGATTAAATGATTCTTTAACCCTAAAATCAATGTTTAAAATATTATTTCAAAAAATCAAATGTATTATAAAAAATTTGTTGATACTAAAATAAAACATTTCTATTTTTAATAAGAGAGCAAAAATTCGTTATAACCGATTATAATTAGTATAAGGAGATTAGCTTCGTTTTATATTTACGATACTATCATTTGTAATTAGAAAATTAAGATGTTTAGAAAGATAATATACTCCCTTTCATTTTACAAATACTCCCTTTCATTTTACAAGTTCATATTTCTTTTAAAATATTTAATAGATTCTTTTCTATTAGTAGAATATTCGTAAAAACTTAAAATAAATTTTGATTTCGATTCAATTTTCAATCGTTACTGACTTCTGTAGGGCTGACTGGTTAAATTATTTTGTCATAAAAATTTATACTTAATTACTTTAGTTGAACATTGCCACCGTTTGGCATTATATGCATCCACTCAACTAATTATTCATCCATTTAATTAATATTCATTCAATTTCAAATCCTCAATTATCATTCTAAATTCTATCAAATTTTTTACAAATTATAATCAAAATAGATGGCATATAAATTATAACAAAATCGATAATATCCTTTATCTCCATAAAATAAATAATTTTTAAAAAAATGGTAGAAATATAACCGTTTGCTATCTTATATGTTTTCAATATTTTTATAATATTCCAATAATCACAACAAAATATAATTTTTATAAGGTAAGTTGTGAATTTATAAATTATTCTTTAAAGTGTTTAAGAGATATTGGGGATATTGTCTCCAATAGAATGATATGTTAATAATTTAATTAAACCTGTATCATGTACAATTGAGCGATTTTGTATTCCTCGACAGAAAGGGGCATGGGAATTCGATATTCCTTGATTAACATTTCGAGTAAAATGAGGATACGACAAATCAAATCTATAAAAATTTAATATAATTATAAGATTAGCGAAAATTATGGTTTTGTGTTTTGAATAAAAACCAGCTTTATTTGATTAGTATAGTAGTGTTGTTGAATGGCTCGATTTGAGCCGATTTTTAAAAACGACTCAATATTTTATCCAGAAAAATATTACACAAAGAGCTCATAAATGGTACGAAGGTTTGGACATCTATTAGCGAAATCTCGAGGCTTAGGCAATAATTTTATAGCTAAAATATTGAGTTTTTTTAAAATCGACTCGAATAGAGCCGTTTAATAAACTAGTATAGAATATAAAACTGTAAATAAAATCGTGAATAAATTACCCTGAAATTCCCTATTATTTGCATAAACAATCATTTTTAAAATGTATATCGCTTTATTTGGATAACTCAATTGGTGAAATTTATTTTTTACTTTCCTCATATTGTTTTTATGAACTTGATGAGAGTCATTCCCTTAATATTAATATTTAATTAAAGAATATCCGGTATTAGGCGGATTGAAGTTAATTCTATGAAAATGGCCTATTCTTAGTCGGATTTTCCATTTATAATAAAAAAATTTTTAAATATTAGTTTAATTTTATCTTGCTTAAGCAATAAAAAAATACATTTCAAAGCATATGAAATTTGCACAATTTTTAGGGATATCTGGGGTGGGCATAATTACTCAAAAATTGTAATTAATACCTAATTATAATTATTAATTTCTATTCTAAAACCTGTAAAAACGATAATTAATTACTAATTACTTACTGCAATTCCTTTTATAGTAATATAAATTAAAGTAGGATTTGAATAAAGATTATAAAAATAAACCGAAGCTCTTTTCCTACCCTAGCGTGTAGCTAGCAGGGAGGAAAGGGAGGGAGAAATTCACCCCATAGCAAAATTTATCGAAAAATATAAAAGCAGGCGCGTAGCTAGCGGGGAGAAGGGAACCCCCCCCCAGCCACCCATAGCCAATTGTAAATTAATTCTGAAAAAATATAAAAGGCTTTCATGGATTGTATTAATATATTTTTATTTCAAATATTTTGTCCTTGGCATTAATATTTTATCTCAAGAAAATTTAAGGTATAATTCTTACATTTTTTTAAACACTGATGGATATAAGAAAATTTTTTCAACCAAAAAGACCTAAAAGTAATATAATTTAATATAAAAATATATAATCACCAATAATAGTTATAGAAAATATAATAAATGATTATTCCTCATTACAATCTGAGGCATCGTTAATAATTTCAAATGAAACTATTGAACATAATCAAATATATAAAGAGATGGATGTTTTTATTCCACTTTTGGAAACATTCTTGACTCAAATTCATAAAAGATTTGTAATTCACCAAGTGGCGCTATATAATTTACAAATTTTATTGCCTATAAATCCTTAAGAGGAAATATTAACATTGATCTCAAAAAAATTATATTTGACTGAATTTTATTCAGAAGACATTAATGTATCTGATGGCCAATTGATTTTTTAATTTAAATCTTGGTACGAAAGATTAATTCTACTAGATAATATTCCGAGAAACACAATGGAAGCATTGTCTAGTTTAAAATATATTTTGGAGTTTTTTCCAAATATATTTAAATTGGCAACATTACCAATAGGTACTAACACTAATGAAAGAACCTCTTGGTTAGTGTTGTTAAACGGCTCATTTTAAGCCGATTTTTTAAAACGGCTAAATCAATATTTTAGCCAGAAAAATTATGCCTAAACCTCAAGATTTCGTCAATATATGTCTAGACCTTTGTTCCTTCTATGAGCAAAATCTTCAGGTTTGCGTAATATTTTTCTGGATGGAATATTGAGTTAGCCGTTTTTAGAAACCGGCTCAAAACGAGCCGTTTAACAACACTACTCTTGGTCATCAAGGAGAATAAAAACCTATCTTAGAAATATCACATCAGAAAATAGGCTAAATGATTTAGCCTTATTTAATATTCATCTAGATTTAATCCCAAGCATAGAACAAAATATTCAATATAATTGGCACAATCAAAAAGACGATTGTTTTACTTATGATGAACCATATTTTATTTAACATTTTAAATAATCATATTTTAATCCAATATTTATTGTTATTTACATACCTTTAACTATATTTTCTAATATTTTGGTTTTTTTTGTTTTTTTAAATATTTAATTGTTATTTTTTAACATAAATTCCTGGCTACACACTAGGTTTGACTAAACTGCAAATGCCTAGGCAAACTGCAAATGCCTAGGTAAACTGCAAATGCCTAGGTAAACTGCATTGATATATACTCTATTAATTGAAGTGATATTCATTTTCTTATGAAATAAATAACTTATAAAAATTAAATTATAAGATATCTATACCTATAATATATCTAATCCTATTAAAAAGTCAATATTTAGCCAATAGTACTCTTTTAAAAAATATTAGTTTAATCATCATAGCAATTTTAAGTTAATAATAATTTTATCATGTGATTTACAGATTATACATTTTATATTTAATTAATGGTGATGGTTTTATATACTCAATCCAAGATGCCTTATCAGAAGATGTTAAAATATTGGTAATTTATGTTACATATGATTTTCTATTAATAAATATTTCCCATTCATAAAATGATATGAAATTAATGATTTTGCTTTAAGAGCTATATTGAAAAATTTACAAAATATGAATCAAATTGTACAAGGAGTGCTTTGTGCCTTCCATTATAAATATTCCCACAATCTAACATATATTTGCATTTTATACAATTATATATCTTTGTTACAATCTTTAAATTTCTTAAAATATTAAAAGGGCAATTTTTATGCATTATTTTATCATGAATTTCTTTTTATAAATAAATAAATCTGACAATCTTTAAAAAAATTGAAATTGGGCCATGCAGAACTTGGGATGGGCATTAACTAAATTCCCATTGGGCCTAAAAATGTTGTCATTTTCAGACCTTCTGGTGGTAAATGCATGTGAAAATAAAAGTGGCAGAGACATATCATTTATAAATGGATTCTTTGGCAGAGATAAAATCCATTATAATCTGCTGTTCCGATATCATCCTGACTAAAGGTCTGCAATGGATAGGTTTTGGTGCATCTGCCTGCTTATTTATTTAAAAATTTTGTTTACCTTGCCTGTCCAATGTTTAAAAATTATTACATGTTAATTTGGCTCTTTATGTATTATTTTAATGTTTTTTACTTAAATTTATAAGTTATGAAATAAAAAAATAATATCTAATAATAAATAAAAGTCAGTTGCTCATTTTGCCTAAAATATATTTCAAATTCACCTGCCGAATGTTTTAAAAATATTTTTTAACCCTCCCATTCACCAATCCAATATCTTTCAGTTTATCCATAGAATAGGCGGGTTTATATTAGGTAAAAAAAAAAACTTTAATCTAGCAAGAATAATTTTTTTAGGTTTTAAATTGCAAATGAATGTATAAAAATTCATTTAGGAATATTTTTTTATTGAGCACAAAAATAAAATGTTTACAGATTTTTTGAAATTAATATAATAAAAATTCATATGATCTGAGATTATATATTTATATTAAAGGTAATAAATATATCAGAGACCTGTAGGTACCATTTGCACAGCCTACCCTAGATTTTGTTTTAAAAAAATTTTTGCCATGGCCCGATCTGGATTTTTTTAAAAGATATTATATTTATTTTCAATTTTTATAGATAATATGGCTATTTAAAATATACAGCCCATCTGGGTATCTTTAAAATTTTTACGCCCAGCCTGAGAATATTTAAAATAATTATAATATGGCCTGACCCCTGTACCTGTATCAAAATATATTTTCTTATAATAAAGATCATCTTGAAGAATGGATCAATATAATGAGAAGATGCAAACTTATTCAAAACTCTGTGGATAAGATATTACCAAGGAGTGCTTTGTGGCTTTCATTTTAATAAAAGACTCTTTAGGAAGGATCCATTCCCACAATCTAATAAATATTTGCATTTTATATGATTACTAGCTGATACAAGAATGACAAGGAATTAGTATTTACTTTTTAATATGATGGATAAATCAGAAATAAGCCTATATGAGGTGTGAATCAGAAATTTACCTTAATTTGGTGAGAGTTTAATCCAAAATTAACATTATTCTTATAAAATGTTAATGAAGTATATACTTATTCCATTCAATATTAACATATATTTCAAACATATTTGAATATACTTTTTTTAATTATATTAATTCATTTATTTTTTAATAAAAAATTTAATCTTGCAAGATGAGGGTTTTATGTATTATTATCATGGAAACAGATTTTGGATTTGGACTTATTAAGAATGGGTCCTTTAAAATAATCTTCAAGAAATAGAAAACCAATTATTTTAGGAAGAGCATCACAGATTGTTCCATCATCAAGATGCCAAATATTTATATCCAAATCAAATTTAAATTTAAGATAATAGATGAGATCATGAATACCAAGGTAAAATAAACGAGGACATGTGCCCCCTGCTGGATCCTTTCGTCAGAATCTATGATATGTGGGCTGAATAAAGGAGTTTAATGTTACAGTATGTCTCTACGAATTTTAAATAATCAGGAAATCTAAGATAAAAAAAATTTATAAAATGTTCACGAAATTTGCTATTGAAAGCATTAATCCAGAGTTGTTAATCGCTACTTTTAAAAGTGGCGCGCTACCGCTATTTGTCAAAAAAAAGTAGCACGCTATTAGCTACTTTTTATAAAAAAAATTTAAAAACAAATTTGTTTTATTTTTTGCTTATAATGTTATTGTATAGTAAATATACAAAAATCAACATTTATAAATATTGAAATAAAGTTAGTTTTGATTATAAAATAATTTATCTAATAAAAATGCTAGTTTCTACCTTGTGTTATGTGTCCAACTTCTGCCGTGATACATATATGATATCTCTGATAAGTCTACTATTAAAGCATATTTCATCTCTTTAAAGTTATCTGCTAATTCATTAGTGTCTGGCGACATAA